AGGGAATTGGATCTTTCCTGTCCCCCTCTCGTGACGCGGATGCGAATGGCTGTTATCGGTGTCAAAGGAAGCGCAGGGCACTTGATCCTGCCCGGGCTTGACGCGGTCCAAGAATAGAATAGAAATCCGTGCAGCTCCGAACACCCGGCCCCGCCGCAGCGGGTTGGACCGTCACGGCACCGCGCTTGGTGTTAGCCGCTCTCATCCAAGCTGCAGAACGCAGCAAGGGCCTCGTTAGCGGCAGTCGTGGTGCTAATTAGGTAGGTTTCATGCTCGGTAATGGGGAGCTATCTCATGGCAGCTTCGTGGAACAGAGAGGAGAGAAAGACACTGTCATTCCAGGAGAAGTGACAGGGAAAAGCCCCAGTGCCAGCAGCAGGTCCCGCTCGGCAGCCACGACGAGGGAAGGGAAGAGCCTGCGGGACACGGGGGAAATGAGGCTGGGAAAGTCTGGGACACTGCCCTGTTCGTGAATCCTCCGGAAGGAGCTGGTGGAGCTGGAAGGGCCCTTTGCCACAGGCAGGGTGAGCACCCATCAAAGAAAGAAAAAATCCTGCAGAAACAGCCTTGGAAAAATGAATGGGAGAGAAAACAAGTGGCCCTAAATCCCGAGCAGAGGAGAACAAAAGCTCAGCTGCAAGTCGGGCTCCTGACACCGCGCTGAGCCGGCTGCCAGCTGCTGCCCCGCGCCTCTCCTTGTATGGGCACGGCCGGGCCTTGCCGTGCGCCTATATTTAATTTCCAAGGGAAAAAAAAATCTCTCTCCATGCCTCTGCTCCGCTGGCCTCTGCCTTGGGAAGTTAAAACAGGAATGGAATTGCATGGAAAAAAAAAAAAGTCACGCTATGTGCACACAGGCCCTTCCTAGGCTTGGAGCGGGCTGGGCCGGGCCGCGGGGCCGGCCGAGCCGCCCCCGGGCCCGTGCGCGGGACGGGAGCCCCGGGAGCAGCCGCGGTCCCTGCGCCCGGCCGGGACGGGACACGACGTCCCCGGCTGCTCCTGGTGCCGGAGCTGCCGCATGGTGGGAAACGCTGCGGGCCCCAAAGGAGCTTGTTCACGGCTGCCACCATCAGAGACCGTGTGACACCGCCTTGGGGACCGTCACTTTATTTGTGCCCTCGGAGAGCTCGACACCAAAGAACTTTGTTCCTTCAGGACTAGATCCACACACAGGAGCGAACGCAAAGGACAGCGACGGGTTCTGCAGCTCTGTGTCTTGGCGCGACAGCCCGGGGCAGCCAACCTGGCAGGAACCTCTGGGTGTCCCCAGGAACCTCCGAATTCAGAAGGCTCCGGGGAAGGGGAGGCACCAGCGAGAGCAAAAGGAAGAGCTGAAACTCCGCAAACCCGGGCTCCAACACCTGCCATTAGCAATCGTTCCAGTGCTGCAGTCTCATAAAGTCACACCTTTTTTCCTTCAACTTAAATATCAAGTGCTAGAGGTCAACATTCAGATCGCCTGCTCTGTAACCCCATTTTAAGTGCACATCAGTAGGAGTGGGTTTTAAAAAAATCAGATATATATTTGAACACACACACGGGTGCATGCACAGTGGATTGGAGGTGCTGCCGGTGTTCCAGGTGGCCAGAACAAGCGTGAGGTCCCGTCCCAGGGGAGGACGCGCGGCCTTGGTGCCCCTTGGGCCGCCCAGGACACGGGTGACTTTGTTTTTCGGGAGCGCGGGGCGCCCCGCGGAGCCGCGTTGGCTCCTGCCCGTCTGCAGCGCGGGGACGCCCCGGGCAGGGTGCGGGGACACCCTGGGCAGAGCGCGGGGACACCAGCTCACACCCACACCGCCGTGTTCATGTCGAAGCCGGGCCGAGGGCAGTCTGCGGCGTCGGGGACCTTCTTGGTGCTGGGCTTGGCCGTGTCGCTGTGGCTGTCCGTGTTTGGGCCCCTCTCCGCCTTGCTGTGGCTGTTCTGCGCGTTCCCGTGCAGCGGGAAGTAGAACGTCCCCTTGAGCTTGCTCATTTTTTTGGATCTCTTGGAAATCTCCGGCTGTTTGTCCTCGGGCGGGAGCCAGCAAGGCTTCTCCTTGAGGAGCCGGTCTCGGTCCGGTCGAACGCTCCTCAGGAACTTCTTGAAGATGTTGGCTTTTTTTTCCTGCTGAGCTCCTGGGACCTGCTCGCGGCCAGGGAGGCTTCGCTCTTTTCTCCCTTCTTATCCAGCTCCGGCAGATCCAGCCAGTTCCCAACCAAGTCCGCAAAGACGTTGTCCCCCAGCACCAGCGGCTGCCGGTTCCTGCTCTGGGACATGAGGGAGGAGGTCCAGTCGTCGGCGTCGTCGCAGCCCTGGCACTGCCCGTGTCCCGGCGTCCCCGGGATGCCGCAAGGCCGATTCCCGCCCGGCTCCGGCGTCGCGTTGTGGCCGCGCTCGGCGCTGCCCGGGGCCGAGGAAGGGCCGAGGGCTGGACAAGCCCCATCACCGCAGGAG